TTTATGAGACGCTTACCAGACCGTCTATAAACATTTCTGGTTGGGGACTCGGATTGATTCTGGCTGTGATCGTCGTCCTGACTGCGACGTTAAATAATTCCTGAGGAGATGGGGGCTCTCCTAAAATTCCTCCTGATCAGCCAGATCAACCGGGTGTAAGGCTCGTTCCGTACGAGGGTAAATAAGAGTGGACTGGCTGGCTTGCTCGGCAATGACTTGGGCACAGGGGTGGGCCGACAACACACACGAAGACACCGCTAATCATTGATGCTATTCGGTATGTTGGATTGAGGGGAGGGTAGGTTCTAATTGATGCTCAACTGGAAACACAACCATACCCACTGATCATACATCTGCAACATGGTCTTGGTTTATTTATCGATTAGTTGGTTGACAGCTGCTAACACCTCACAGACAGATTAGAGTAGGACTGTTGTATACTACCATAGCCAGTTCTATCTAATGCTGCTGTAAGTGAACCAATCAAGGTACACCTAGACTATGTTGACAGTCTATTGTGAATGTTGTAGGCTGCCACTTGATCGGTAAAAGTAGGGGACCTGTCGGACACAATTATTTTTAGAAAATTAGGTGTCAGTCAGACACATGCTGTGGTAGGACTCCACTAGGGGGTTGTAGTGCAGACAGTGTTTGCCTGACTGATGAGCGGGTCAGACACCGATCAGGGTAGAGTTGACAATGTGAGACTTACACGTTTGAAAGCACTTAGGGTCCCACACGTGTTCCAGACCCTACAACAGGGAGACGAAGCACGACTTCGTGCCGAGCGTAGAGCCCGTGCTCTTGCAGCAGCGAGGGCAGCAGCGAACCTAGCAGCTAGAGAGCAGGCAGCAGCAGCCAGAGCAGCAGCAATGGCTAACGGCGCAAGCTCTGCTGCGTCCTCTGCTGCATCCTCGTCAGGGACCCTGTTGGGAATGCCCTCAGGGCCCGGGGGTACTTCCGGGTCAGTAGGTTCTAGTCAGACCACAAGTCAAATGGCGGGCTCGCAGTTAAGCCCGCTGACCCCACGCGGCAGGGAGCTCCTAGAGCTCCAACAGGTCGAAAGGATTCGCGAACGGTTAGAGAGGGAACTGAAGCAAGCAACCGATAGAGAAAACGAGATCAAAAGAAGAGCAGCCAGGCTTGATACGTTAGAGGCAGACAAGGCTGCACTGGAGGGTTTGGACGAGACAACAATGTCTGACCAATTGAAAGTGTTGAAGAATAGCATGTTGTCGCTGCATGCGCATGTGGACAGCAGACTAGACTTCATGCAGAACTCTCTTGTTCAGATCTTGGACCTTTTGCAAAGACCAGGATTTAGGCGAGCAGCACAGTCGCCGTTGCCGTTAACGGCAATGTCAGGCCCCTTTCCGGTACAAGCTGGCACACAACCAAGTGGTACGTCTGCAGCAGTCTCACAGACTGTTGCTTCTTCTTCTTCAGGGTCAGCGATGGTAGCTACACCACCGCAACAACCTGTTCCTCAACAGGGACAGCAGCAAGGTCAATGGTATCCAAAGACCCCTATGAAACCGCCTCTTGCCTTCTCAGGAGAGAAGAAGGACGAGGAACTCAACACATGGTTGAGAACGGTTTCGGTATGGGTAAAGGCGAAGAGGACTTTGCAGGAGGAGGAGGTGATTACTGCTGCATCTTACCTTGAGGGTAAGGCAGCCAAATGGCTGGATGGTTTAGTTTCAAAGGCCGAATATGGACGACGCATGGCGGACTGGGCTAAGACCATTACGTTAGACCAGTTCTTAGAAATGGTAGAAGCTCGTTGGCACAATCCACAACAAATTGCCACTGATGCGATAAACAGACTAGACCAAAGAAAGTTCAAGTCAGTCAGGGAGCTTACGACTACCGTAGAGAGCCTCATCGTCGTCCCAGGCATAAACTACGATGACCAGTTCTTGTTGACCACATTTGTGAGATGTCTCCTAGAGAATCTCAGGAATTTGCTGGCCAGCGAGGCTCGCCTTGAGTATCACTCATTTGAGACTTTATCTAGGAAAGCTTTGGACTTAGAGGCCACCCTAGGAAGTGCTCAACCTTCTTCAGTTGACGCGAGGAAGAAGAAGAGTCCACAAGAATGAAAGAAAAAGGGGGCTAAATTGTTGATGGTTGAGTCCGATGGGACTCAAACAGAGATCGACGAGCTCACAGACCTGTTGGACGTTTCAGAGTACGACAGCGAGGAGATCGCTGAGGGTAGCACCCTCGCCGCAGTAGTTAAGGCTAAGGCTGATGGCCGAGTGAAGGGCCATCAAAAGAGTCAAGGGAAGGCCGCCTCCAATCAGACCAAAGTTGCTGATTCGGTCAAGGCAGGTCTTGATCAAGAAGTGTGGCGGGACCGCCGAGTGCGTGGTGCTTGTATTAACTGTGGTGAATACGGACACACCCAGTACAAGTGCCAGAACGCAAAGATCACGCAGAAGATACCCAGGATTCTCGCTCGGGAAACATGTGAGGCCGGTGGAAGTTTTAGCTGCTTCTACTCATGGTGAAGTGGGCCAGATACCCTCCCCACTTCATGAGATGGCCATAGCTAATGACTCTTTAGTCACCCCGCAGACTCATCCAGACCAAACTATGCTCTGTATGTTGGATGTGTCTGAAGCCTTAGAAGATCTGGAAAGTGAGTGGTCAAACAAGGACCCTCGTGAATCTTGGGTGGCACTAAGGAAAGGTCCTGGAGGGGAACATTTCGTGGTGGAAGTTGATGTAGGAGGCCGCAAATGTAGTCCCTTCATAGACATTGGCTCCACGCGGAATTACATAAGTCGCGACTGTTTGGAAAGGCTGCACCTACAGGACCGGGTACAACACCTTAGTAGACCCGTAGCATCTACTTTGGCCAATAAGGAGCGCATGATTGTCACAGACTATATCAAGGACGTAGTTTGTACCTTCTCCTATGGAGGAGGGGAACTTAATCATAAGATTTCGTTCCTTGTTAGCGACGACTTGCCATTCGACATGTTGTTAGGCATGTACTACCTTGAGGTTGCCAAGCCCCAGTTTGACTGGGACAAGAAGGTGCTAAAACATAAGTTGCGTGATGGCAGAACAGTCAGATTGACTAAGTTCAAAGCCAGTAGCATAATAGATACCTATGGCTGCTTGTGTGCATCAGCGTTTCATAACTATTACAAACAGAACCAAGAGGAGGGTATGTACCTTGTGTATGTCTCTGAGAAAGGGGAGGCCGTTAAAACATCCCCAGAGATAGAACGCGTCGTTGCTAAGTTCCCTGATCTGTTCACTGAGCCTACAGGAGTCGTAGAGAGGGAGATCGTCCATGCCATAGAAATCATTCCAGGGAGTAAAACCCCAAAGGGAAGGATCTATAGGATGGCTCCGRCCGAGTTGGATGAACTTCRRCGACARCTGAAAGAGYTGACAGMGAAGGGATGGATCCGACCGAGTACTTCCCCCTACGGATCGCCAGTACTATTTGTACCAAAGAAGGGGGGTACGTTGAGGATGTGCATTGATTATAGAGGCCTCAATGCCATCACCGTGAAGAACGCAGAGCCTCTACCTCGCATAGACGACCTATTGGATAGGGTGCAAGGATGTAAGTACTATAGTAAGATAGATTTTAAATCCGGCTACCATCAGATTGCTATAAGACCTGAGGACCAGCACAAGACTGCATTTCAGACTAGATACGGTATGTATGAGTTTGTTGTGATGCCCTTTGGCCTTTGTAATGCACCGGGTACATTCCAGCACGCCATGAACAGGATCTTCCATGACCAATTAGATAAGTTTGTCGTAGTCTACCTCGACGATATTCTTATCTTTAGTAAGTCTGCCGAGGAGCATGCACAACACGTTGAGACTGTACTTTCACTCCTGCGACGGCACAAGTATAAGATCAACTTAGAGAAGTCTGAGTTCGGACGTACTAAGATCTTATACTTGGGTCATGAAGTATCCGCGGGAGGGATTAGGCCGGAAGATGCGAAGGTGGCTAGTATAAGGGACTGGCCACGACCTCAGACTATTACTGAGGTCAGATCTTTCTTAGGAATGTGCGGCTATTATAGGAACTTTGTGAAAAATTATTCCACAGTCGCCTCTCCTTTGATAGATCTAACTCGACTTGACACACCGTGAGACTGGAGTGATGAGTGCGAGGCTGCTTTCAAACGATTGAAGCATGCACTCATGAATCATGAGGTTCTCATGGTGCCCGATCCTCAGAAGCCATTCATAGTGACCACTGACGCAAGCCAATACGGCATTGGCACAGTGCTGACTCAGCAGGATGGGAAGAAGTTGAGACCGATTGAGTACATGAGCAAGAAAATGCCATCGAAGAAATTGGCAAAGTCCACCTATGAAAAGGAACTCCATGCTCTCTACAAGGCACTTGTCCATTGGAGACATTTTCTGTTGGGACGGTTCTTCTACTTGAGAACTGACCATCAGACGCTCAAATGGATCAAGACTCAACCGACTCTTTCTGATGCACTCAAGCGCTGGATTGAGGTCATAGATCAGTATGACTTCAAGCTTGAGTATCTGAAGGGAGAGTACAACAAGGTTGCAAATGCGCTATCTCGTAGAGCAGACTACCTAGGGACGCTAGTTTCTGAGTTTGGTGTATCTCAGGAAGTAACTCAATCGTTGGTGGGAGCGTATCAGGAAGACCCTGTCATGATGGACATCATGCGCAAACTTCAGGCAAAAGACAAGGCCACAGAAAGTGAGTTTGTGATGGTGGATGGGTTACTCTTTCTTGATAAGGCCAGGTGTAAAAGGTTAGTAGTTCCATCGAGTGAGAGTTTGCGTAGTTTATTTCTAGGGGAATGTCATGGTGCAACTGGACACTTCGGCTACAAAAAGACGAGTGTCAATCTGGTACAGCGATTCTGGTGGCCTGGAATGCTAGATGATGCAAAGAAGTATGTAGAGACCTATCAGGTCTGTCAGCGGGATAAGCCGCCGCTTGGGTTGCTGAAGCCCTTACCTATCCCCGCTGGTCCGGAACAGAGTGTTTCCATGGACTTCATGGACACCCTGGTGACCAGAAAGAGTGGCAAGAGGCACATCTTTGTCATCATAGATCGATTCACCAAATATGCTAGACTAATCGCCATGCCAGAGACCGCAAGAACTGACCATGTCATCAAGTTGTTTATGGACAACTGGGTGCGTGACTTTGGACTACCAAAGTCAATCGTTAGTGACAGAGATGTCCGATTCACAAGTGAGCTATGAAAGAAGACTGCTGAGCAGATGGGCAGTCAACTTCAGATGACTTCAGGGAATCATCCCGAAGCCAACGGACAGGCCGAGCAGATGGACAAAGTTGTACAACACCTGCTGAGGCATTACATCAAGCCCAACCAGGATGACTGGGATGAGAAGTCGCCTCTCATCACCAGCCTGTACAACAACGTTGTACACAGCAGTACCGGCGTTAGTCCTAATCAGCTACACTTGGGATGGAAGCCTAGATCAGCTCTGGACTTCCTCCTACCTGAAAACCGACCCTCTGCAACTCCAGGCACACTTGAGTATGGTGTGCAGTATGAGAAGTTGCTGCAGCAAGCTGTCGAGCACATCAAGAAAGCTCAGCAAGCAATGATTGCTTCTGAGAACAAGCATCAATGACAGTCCTCATTTCAGGTAGGAGAACGTGTCTGGTTCAAGGCTAGTGAGCTAGGACAGGAATTCGGGATCTCTCGTAAACTACTGCCTTAGTATTTTGGTCCCTGGGAAGTCCTGGATGTAGTGGGGGATGAGATGGATAGTCCTACCTATGTTATCCGTATCCCTGGACACCTACGCACTCACCCTGTCTTTCATGCCTCAAAGCTTGCACCTTTCGTTGAGACAGATCAATTCCCTTCAAGGAGATCGATGCTGCCCCCAACCATGGATGGTCAAGTGGACATCGACGACATTGTGGATCACAGAGATCTGCCTGTTCAGAAGCCATTGGGTAGAGGAAGACCTCCAAAACCCAAGTGGGAGTATCGCGTCAGATTCAGGCATCATACACATCCGAAGGAAGATCGATGGTTCACCAGAGAGGAACTGATTGACACAGCTCCTCAAGTGGTGGCAGAGTATGAGAGAATGTTAAAAGGGAAGGCACCTGCGAAGTAAGCATCTCAGCGGACTTTCGAAGCTAAGGGGGATGGAATGTGAGGAATGAGCCCTCAAGAAGGGGCCTTGCCATGATGTACATGTTCTGGGCTAAGGCCCCAGCAAGCCTCGTGCCCGCCCTAAGTGAAGGCGGGCCAGCAAATCAACAAGAGCCCTCTGTGCAAACATTTCACGAAGTGGGGTCCATACAGTTGCAGCACGCCAGTTGGTTGGTGTGCACCGAGTATCGGAGCTCTGCAAATGCAGAAATCCCAGGGCCCCGAGTTGGTTAGGCCCTGGGCACATAAACGTGAGGCCGACAATGCTTGCTGGATATAGAGGCCGAAAATGCCAATGAGAAACCGGTCCACTATCTGAATCTGGCCGCAGGCCTTGATGAAAGAGGCGCAACTGCATCCCCTGGGCCCCCGACTGCATCGGGCCTGGGTACAGGTACTGGGGCCCAGGCACAGGCTCAAGGGAGGCCRCCCACACGCAACACTGGCATATAGGCAAGCAGGGCGAGTGGGCAAGGATCTTGGCCAATGCAGGCATTGCGGGCACGCTGCGCATTTGCGAGGTGCTGCGCTGTGCAGAGCTGCGCTGGGCTGAGGGAGGCAGGCAAGCGCTAAGCGGTAGGGCGCTGCCTGGGCGCAGGGCGCTGGCGGCCATAGCCGGGCTGCCTGTGGGCGCAGAGGAGGAAGGGCGAAGGTGGTTCATCGGAGGTGAAGGGCGCTGTGTGGGATAACAAGGGAGAGTGTGGGTGAAGAGGGAGACGTACCTGTTGGAGGTGGGAGGTCGGCATTGGTGTTGACATCATCACTCGCTGGTCGTCAAGTTGTCTGGTTGCTTTCATACTGTAGTTGTAGTGTTAGGCTGTAGAGTAGGTAGGGCGCCTGGTGCCATTCAAGAGAGAGAGCTACATTGGGTTATGCTGTTGGTGTTGCTTGGACATTGACTCACGATTCTTCTGTATCGTTCTCAAATGGATTGTTACTCGGTTCCGTTGTGCTATCTGCTCTTGCTTTGACTACTTGGACTTCAGTGTGATTTTGCAATCTGGATTTCTGTGCTTCGTCCATATTCATGTTCCTTGCAATTAGGAATTTGGAGCTCTTACACAAATGCAATTTGCCTTGTACTGGGCTTGTAGTTATTTTAAGGTTTTAAACTATTTTTCCGAGAAGTTTTCTGCCTTTGGAACACAGGTATCATCATTTTAGTAATTTGAAGTTCTTACTAACTTCTTAGATAGGGACCTGCTGGACCTGCTTTCCAGCTATTATAATGAAATTATGAAATGAAATAGGATGCTATTCTTGGGGAGGAAAAAAAAAAAAAAAAAAAAAAAGGCAGAATGCGCCTTGCAGGCTTGCAGGTATTTTAAACTATCATAATAGTATCATTCAAGAATTCCTTTGCCGTTTGGAACGAACCACTGGGTTTCCCATCGATTGGTGCTGCATTTGAGCTAATCGAAGTTCGAACCAGTGCTGGTCGCCGGATGGACCGGGGGGCACTCCCCCGACCGGTATCCATTCACACCCGGTTGCCCCCAGCGCATTTGACGGCGCGGGGTCGTTGTTTTGGCGCCTGGGGAGCAGGCTGCGACCCGAAACTTGAAAACCGGGTCCGGCAGCCCCTCCTTTTTTTTCGTTTGAAAACGGCCCGATCTTTGCCGTCGATCGTCTCAGATCGGCCCCCGTTTTCAAACTTGCCAAGCGCGCGATCTTGGCCAAGCGCGCGAACTTGGCCCCTGTTTCGGAATCGTCGTCGTCCAGCGTCGTCGTTGAGCGTCGAGCAGCGTCCAGCGTCGTCGTCCAGGATCGCCATCGCTCCGTAGCCCCCCGGCTTCCGCGTCTTCGAGGCAGCCCCCGCGCTGTTGCCCCCCCCGCCCCCCGCGCTGACGAGTTCATTGCGCCGCTGCTGGCACGGTTTGGTTCTTCTTCTTCTTCTTCTTCTTCTTCTTCTTCTTCTTCTTCTTCCTCCTCCTCCTCCTCCTACTCCTCCCCTCCGCCTCCTCCTCTTCTTCTCCTCCTCCTCCTCTTCTTCTCCTCCTACTCCTCCTCCTCATCATCATCATCATCATCTTCTCCTCCCTCTTCTTCGTCCTTGTCTTCCTTCTCCTCCTCCTCCTCCTCCTCCTTTTCTTCTTCTCCTCTCCCGTTAGCCATAGCCCATGTGTTAGCCTTTTTT